GAGCTGTGGGTCCTTCATCAACACAAATATGTTCTTCTACTCTGCAGCATTCAGAACCAAATACATTGACCCAATTACTTATTCTCACAATCCATATTAGCAAAGGTTCTTCAGAAAGCCCACAATACCAACCCACAAAAAGAGACAAGTTCTTCACACTACACAATCTGTTTTTCATAGTTACTTTGTTTTGCCCTCTCCCTCTAGTTTTTGAAGACAAGAGGCATTCTGTTGTCCCGGCATAATTTTTCCCTTTTAAGACAAGTTTTGATGTGTTGACTGAAAGACTGATAGGCACTATAAACTTAACAAAACTTGAAGTTATTTAATTCTGAGTCAAGTTTAAAGTCTATAGCCCAGCAACAAAAACTCAGAGCAAAGTGAGAACGTGTCCCTCAGTGGGCTACATAAAGCACAATATACATTTGGAAACACAGTAAATGGGAGAAGATAGCAGAAAAGCAAAGGTGACATTTTTACAATTCAGGTTAATCTTCACTGACATTATACAGAAGATAAAGTAAATATGCAGTTCTCATACATAAGGTAAAAAGTTAGAGGACATGGGTGTCTTAGAGTATAGAGAGGGATGATGACTCTACCCTGCCTCTCTGCTTCGTCTGATAAGCAAGGCTGGACTCAGTAGGTTTCAGTGAAATAGACTCCAGACTTACAGGTGAAAAGTTTAGATTAGGTCTACTTTCTATTTCCTATATATCCATCCTGCCATATTAAGCCCCTTTTAAAAATGTTTCCTTTGGATTTTCCTTCTTCGGAGAAACACTGCCTTTTGATCAAAAAGTCTCCAAAGAAGAAATCTGAATACCAAATAGTACAATTTGATACATTCAAATATAAAATTCTGGCTGGGCATGGTGGCTCAGCCTGTAATCCCAGCACTTTGGGAGGCCGAGGCGAGAGGATTGCCTAAGTCCGGGAGTTTGAGACCAGCCTGGGCAACTTGGTGAAACCTCATCTCTACAATAAATCACAAAAACTAGCCAGGCACGGTGACATGTGTCTGTAGTTCCAGCTACTTGGAAGACTGAGGCGGAAGGATTGCCTAAGACCAGCAGGTAAAGGCTGCAGTGACCGTGAGGGTGCGTGCCACTGCACTCCAGTCTGGGTGACAAAAGTGAGACTCCAACTAAAAAAAAAAAAAAAAAAAAAAAAATTATATATATATGGTTCCCATTCTTTTAGAACTGTAGAGCACTGATCATCAAACTGGAACTGAGAAATGCCCATGTCCTTTTCCTTTTTTCCTCTGTAAGAAGTGCCATCATCTATCTGGTTTGTCAGTGAGGTTACAAAGGCTCTACTCTCACTGTCACCTAGACTGGAATGCAGTGGCATGACACTGCTCACTGTAGCTTCCACCTCCTGGGCTCAGGCCATTCTTCTGCCTCAGCCTCCTGAGTAACTGTGACTACAGACAAGCGGCCCCATGCCTGGCTAATTTTTTGATTTTTTGTACAAGCAAGGTCTCACTCATTATGTTGCCTAGGCTGGCAGTTTTTCCTTTTGAAACGTGAAAGGCTCTTGTCTTACATTAATGCCTCTTCATTCTGCATTAAAATGAGATGATTATTGCAATTAGGGACAAGAGGCAGAAGTATGTCCAATTTGATACATTTTATAAGTTCAGATGCCATGATGCCCTGCATGGTCAGATGTATCAGGGAGATGCCTTCAGAAGTCAGGTAGAAGTATATCCAATTTGATACATTCTTCTAAAACTTGGGACTTCAGGATCAAAATATGTTAACACGAAAAGCTATTCCTCAGTAGATAACAAAGAGAGGAAAGATTAGGACAAATGGTCAAGAGATAACCACTTTTGCTTATTTTCTATGTTTCCTCCTTCAAAGTGATGAAAGAACATAGTTTTAACTGGTCTTTTATTTTTTTACATGACATTTATAACCTTTAGCATATATAACATTTGTAATATAGAAACATCAGAAATAACAATATGGTGAACTCAGAAGTACACTCAAGAGAAGAAATAATACAGTATCAAAGAAAAGAACACTAAAAACATATTTTGATAATCTGCAATTCAACATGTAATTATGCTCTATCATGTTTATATTTACACCTTAATATATATTTGACTTAATTCATTTAGAATTGTATTAACTGAAGACTTTTAATGCCTAAATTCTCACTAGATAGCTTGTTTTCTACTGGGAGTACAATTTGAAAAGGTTTGAGCCGGGCTCAGTGGCTTGGCCTGTAATCCCAGCGCTTTGGGAGGCTGAGGTGAGTGGATTGCCTGAGCCTGCAGGTTCGAGATCTGCCTGGTCAACTTGGCGAGACCTCATCTCTACAATAAGTCAAAAATGAGCCAGGCGTGGTAGCGCGCGCCTGTAGTTCCAGCTACTTGGAAGGCTGAGGTGGAGGGATCGCCTGAGCTCAGCAGGTCGAGGCTGCGGTGGCCGGGAGCGGTCACTGTACTCCAGTCTGGGTGACAGAGTGAGACTCCAACTCAAAAAAAAAAAAAAAAAAAAGAAAAGAAAAGGTTTGAATTTAACTCTCAAAATAAGATTCTTCATATCCTCATTATCATAAGTATTATTTTGTCTTAAAAGTAAGTGCCTGAGCCGGGCTCAGTGGCTCAGCCTGTAATCCCACGCTTTGGGAGGCTGAGGTGAGTGAACTGCCTGAGCCCATGGGTTTGAGACCCGCCTGGGCAACTTGGCGAGACCTCATCTCTACAATAAATAAAAAAATTAGCCGGGCATGGTGGTGTGTGCCTGTAGTTCCAGTTACTTGGAAGGCTGAGGTGGAAGGATCGCGGGAGCCCAGCAGGTCAAGGCTGCAGTGGCCGGGAGCGTGCCACTGCACTCCAGTCAGGGAGACAGAGTGAGATTCCAACTCAAAAAAAAGTAAGTGCCTGATAAAGCCAGTATTGCACCAAAATTTAAATTAAATTAATTTACAAGTATTTAAGCAGCATAATTTAAATCAAGTATTGTTTGATTGCACATAAGATCTAGAACACTTAGTGTCATCTGTCACTCCACAAAGCAGAATGGGGCCTTCAAGCTGCTGCTGCAGGAGGCGCAAATAGGAACAGGCAACAATGAAGGCCCCAATATTGGACAGGGTACATGTACAACCTCCAGGCAGCAAATAGCCCTGGGCCTGAATCATTTTGCAAAACTGGGTAAAAGATGCGCATTCTAAATGCTTTTTTGTATTCTTCTCCATTGCCTACAAATACAGAAATTCTATATAGACGATCCCCTTTAACCTTACAACCTGAGAACCAATCCTACCAAATTCTGAACATCAAGGCACATGACTGCACTGCAGGACCTACAGAATAGATTTGCCTTCCCAGTACTCATCAGAACAATGCAGTATCCCTTGTAAACAAAAGAAAATTCTTATGTTCCTCTCAGAAAACCAGTGGTTGGTACAAAAACTGGCCTCTAGTCAGGTTGACCCACAGAATACTGCACTATCCAGTCCACAAATAAGAATCACGGAGTCCCAAAGACTTTCTTTAGAAGCATAGGCAGTTAACCAAATTAGGCCACAAGTGAAGAGAGCATTCACATCATACCCTGAGAAGAACACAAATTTATTTATTTTTATTTATTTATTTTTTTGAGTTGGAGTCTCACTCTGTCACCCAGACTGGAGTGCAGTGGCCACTCCCGGCCATCACAGCTTCGACCCGCTGGGCTCCGGCGATCCTTCCGCCTCAGCCTTCCAAGTAGCTGGAACTACAGGCACGCACTACCACGCCCGGCTAATTTTCGATTTATTGTAGAGATGAGGTCTCGCCAAGTTGCCCAGGCGGGTCTCGAACCTGTGGGCTCAGCAATCCACTCA